ATGACTTGATGGCATCCCCGTGAAACCATAAACCTAGTCCCCAAACTGAGCCCAGGTCATGCCGGGAGATAACACAGCAAACACTGGAACATTAAGCTCCCCAATTAAACTCAGCCGTGCCTGGACCATTAGCTTGGATGGCCTTGAGTTCCAGTTGATAAGCAAAAGGAATTACTTCCAGATGATAGGCTGCAGGCATCAGGGAGCAGAGGATAGATTTATTGAGTGCTGGTATTGCCAGCCGGTCAAGGGAAATGATTGTTCCGCTCTCTTCAGCACTGGTGAGGCCACATCTGAAGTATTGGATCCAGTTTTGGGCCCCCCACTACCGAAAAGATGCAGACACATTGGAGAGAGTCCAGTGGAGGGCAACCAAAATGATTAGGGGGCTGGGGTGTATGACTTACGAGGAGAGGCTGAGGGATTTGGGCTTGTTTAGTCTGCAGAAGAAAAGGGAGGGAGTTTATAGAAGCCTTCAACTATCAGAAGGGGCATTCCAAAGAGAATGGAGAGAGGCTGTTCTCAGTGGTGGCAGATGACAGAATGAGGAGCAATGGTCTCAAGTCGCAGCGGGCAGCGGAGGATATAGGGCACAGCGAGTGGGGCAGCTGTTCCGGGCCCTGCGCTTCCCGAGGCCCCACGCATGAGCCTTGTCAAAGGAGGGGCCCCGTGAAATTTCGCTGCCCTGGGCCCCATGGCACTCTCGTCCACCCCTGGCAGTGGGAGAGGTGTAGGTCGGATATTAGGAAAAACTATTTCACTAGGGCCTGGTCTACAACACAAACACAAACCCCTCCCCTTTGTCTGAAACACAAACCCCCCCAAGGTCGAATTTGTGAGCGATGTGTCCACGCTACCAAGCCCGTTATTCTGGAATAAGGGGCTACAGAATTTGAACTCTGTGGTCCTGCTTTTTCTGAGGAGTAACGCTATTCCCGAACTTATAAGTCCAAAATAACATTAGTGTGGACGCTCCGGTGTCGCTAATTTGAACTAATTGGCCTCTGGGAGGCCTCCTGCAGTTCCCTAGAGTGCTTCCTGGGGCGCTGAGTCTGAGGTACCGCGTCCACATTAACGGCGCCTGCCCTGGATTACATTCGACTCTTCCCCGTAGTGAAGATATGGAAGTTTGAATTTGTAAAATCAGGTGCCCAAAAGTCAAACTTAGTATATTTGAAATAATCTCCTAGTGCAGAAATAGCTTAGGAGGGTGGTGAAGTATGGGGCTGGGTTCCTTAGGGAGGTGATGAAATCTCCACCTCTAGGGTAGGTCTAGACTACACAGTTTCTCTGGTATCCCGGAAAAACTGTTTCATGTCCAGGGAACACGTTTGCTCTTCTTTTTTTTTTTTTGCGGAAGAGCAAACACGCTCTTTCGGAAGCCCCTGTATTCCTTGTTCCACGAGGCATAAAGGGGCTTCCAAAAGAGGTTTTTTTCCCGACATTTGGCCCAGTCTAGATGGGCCAAATGTCAGAAAAACCTCTTCTGACACAAAAATCGGAAAAAGACGTAGCCGAGCTGTACCGTTAGAGATATTTAAGGCCTGGAATGATTTAGTTGGGGCTGGTCCTGCTTCGAGCAGGGGGTTAGACTCGATGGCCTCCTGAGGTCTCTCCTATGATTCTGATATCCCTGTACCCATTTGTGAGCACATCAGTGAGATCAGAGGCAAGCTAAGGGTCTGCCTTTTTGATAGCTAGAGGGGTTTTTCTTCCTTTGAACGGGTGCAGCAGAGAGCCAGCCACTAGCAGGGCAGTCAGAGGTCGGTGAGACCTTCCTTCTGTCTTTGGGCCTAACGCTTTTCATTGCCTTCCCTGGACTCACGTTCACTGCCAGCCCTTTACGCGGCATGGAGCAAATAAGGACTGTTTAAAACTGGATGGGCTGTGTTTACTGTATTGCTGTGGCGATGCCGAGAAAGCAACCGAAGCT